TTTTTTTTTTGTATTATTGAGTGAACCTGTATCCAGAATTTCTTAATGTGGGTGTGCAAATCCACCACAGATGGTAAAACATTCCTGCTTCTTTCTCACCTAGTAAGTTTCATGGCTGAGTGGTAAATTGAACCCTGGTCCCCAGAGTCATAGTCCAACACTCATAACACTACACCATACTGGCTTGGCATAGAGTTTTCTTAGGTAAGGATGATTTAATATTAAGAGAGCATTAAAATAGGATTAAATTATTACAGATCATTGAGAGCCAGCATGGCGTAGGGATTTGAGCACTGAACTATGACTCTGGAGACCAGGGTTAAATCCCTGCTTGGCCATGTAAAACCACTGGGTGACCTTCAGCAAGTCACAATCTCTCAGCCTCAGAGGATGACATTGGCAAACTCCCTCTTTTCTTAGGGCCCTAGGGTCACCATAAGTTGGTAATGACTTGAAGGTACACAACAACAAAACAGATCATTCGTTAAGAAATAAAATACAGTTTTAAAAAATTAAAACACTTAAAAACAGTACACTATAAAACAGTACAACACCCCCAGGATGTTCTTCAGACTTTCTGTTTTAAAAGCCTGTCTGAATAAAAATGGCTTAGAGAACGACAACAAGGAAGGGGCCATTCTGGGAAGGGAGTGCCAGGATCTGAGGCAGCTATTGAGAAGGCCTTGTCTCCCATCCCAAACAACTGTGCTTTTGAAAGTGGTGGGACTGAGAGAAGGAATACACAAAGGTGGTTTTGCCATTTGCTGCTGTTGTTGTGTGCCTTCAAGTTGTTTCCATTTTACGGTGACCCTATCATGGGGTTTTCTTGGCAAGGTTTGTTCAGAGGAGGTTAGCCATTGCCTTCCCCTGAGGCTAGAGAGTGTGACTTGCCCATGGCTGAACAGTGATTTGAACCCTGGTCTCCAGAATCACAGCCAACACTCAAACTACTATGCCACACTGGATCTCATGTTTTCCCAGTTCCTTCTTCTGAAATATTGCTTACAGCACCTGGTACTATTTGTTGTTGGTTGTCTCTCATCTAAGTACTAACCAGGTCTGGCCCTGTTTTAGCTTCCAAATTCAGATGGGATCTAGCTGCCTTCAGGGTATTTAGGCTTTTGTCTCTTGTGGGGTGCAGGAAATTACTGCCCTAAATGGAAACTATAGTTCTGTGGTTTGTCAAATTAGGACATGGGCACAACTGTTTTCATATTGAGGCTAGAGACTATAATTTAACTTTGTGTGGAATTGTAGCAGTAAAGAAATTCTTGAAGTTTGTGAGAAAAAGGTTAGTGGTTTATTCTGAAAATGAAAGCCAAAGGCTGAGAGTATCCTAAAACGCTGGACAAATATGGAAGGAAGGTCTAAAAGATCTACACTTTTCTGGGACTGTATGACTGCAAATAGGAGCTTGCATTTTAGAATTTGTAGTATTAAAATCCTGCTGTCTTTATGACTAATGGTTGTTTGGAAACATGGGATCACACCAGGCCATTGCAGCTGATGAAAGTAGACCTAATGAGAATTATTTGTTACACCTAGCTTGCCAAGCTTGCCTCTGTGTACATGACAAGAGCAAGGATTGGTTACAACAGTGCTACTCAAAAGTGGCAGTCTGTGAACTATTGGCTGTTGGTCTGACTCTACAGGTTTCCAGGAAATCATATGAATACAATAGTATTGTGACACAAATACAGTGCCACCTCCTAACACACGCTTGGGAATAAATTGTCATTCCATTTATCAGGTAACTTGATAAGTATCGGGCTACATCTCTGTGTAGGTTGGTGGCAAATCCAGACTTCTTGCATCCTTCTGAGACTGCTCATTCTGAGATACACTATTCCATTATTATTTATTTTCCAGTGTGCCAAGGACTGGTATTATATTGGTGCCTATTAGCTACAGCATTTTTTTTCCTGGAAACACAATCCGCTTGGTGAGTGGTCCACCACTTTGAGTATTCATAGGATACACTAAACTACAGTACTATGCACTCCTTGTTTCCTGGTTATTTGTGAGTTTTGTTGTTGTTAACTTCCCTTGAGTCAATCTCGACTCTTGGCGGCTCTATGGATGAGACATCTCCAAGACCTCCTGTCCTCCACTGCTCTGCTTAATTCCTGCAACCCCTTAATACCCAAAGTGGCCTCCTTCATAGTCCATCCATCTAGCATGCGGCCTTCCTCTCTACCTATCTCCTTCCACCTTTTCCAGCATTATTGTTTTTTTCAATGTGTCCTCTCTTCTCATGATGTGTCCAAAGTACGACAGTCTCAGTTTGATCATCTTGGCTTCCAGGGAGGCTTCCGGCTTTGTCTGCTCTAGGATCCACTTGTTTGTCCTTTTGGCTGTCCATGGGATC